CTTCTCTCTCTCTCTCTCTCTCGCTGTCACTCTGTACGTCTCAGCTTTGTCCACCACCAGCGATGTTACACCATGTGCCAGTGCAGATAATCTAGCAACTTTAATAAATACTGTATAATTCATCCATACTGAAACATTGGCTGGTGTCCTCTGAATTCCCCTGAAAGTCCCAATATCATGTGTCAAATGTTTTCATTACAAGTTACCCGTCATGGCCTCTGAATATACAGCGTACTTCCATGTGACCCAAAAAAAAGATGACAGAGAAATCTTACAGCTGACTGCTGCGAACACATAGCACCGCAAAACAAATATGGTAATACAGAAGATGTTAAGACATAAATCAAATAAAAGATGGTACTCAAATAACGACCTGTTCAAACATACAAATGTTTGTCAGGTACGCATTATTGAAAGTCAGCAAGCGTCGCTGCCAATGTTTCACAGTATAAGCCTTCCAGGGAAGTGAAGGTATTATACTCCCTAAACCTCTAAAAGGCTTTTAATGTGAGCAAAAAACATCCAATAAAATCTCAATAAAAGCCAGTCTCAACTAAAGGCCTGACTCTGTTTGTAGCTGATGTGAATAAAGGTATTATATACTCTACATGTGTATTCTATTAAAGGATAAGTCTAGTGATATGCTTTCATTTTCTCATTGTCAACAAATTCCCTGAAAACCTCAAAACCAACAATGACTTTCTCCTCCGAACAAGATCTGTGTTTCTCACAGCCTGATGTCTCGTCTTCCTCTGAGCCAAAGAGCTCCATTGTTGTCCAAAAACTCCTAAAAACACATCGGTGAGCCACACTGTTGCACTGGGTGACATGTTCCTTCTTTACCATGAACACACACACACACACACACACACACACACACACACACACACACACACTGCAGTGTATTTTGACTCAATCCCACATGCGCTGTGTACCGCACCAAATACTCACTAGAGAAACACATGCGGGTTAATCCGCTGCTTCACGAACAAATGCAGTATTTCATCCAGTTTGAGTAACTTTTTAAGAAGACTACAACGGCCAGTTGCTTTAAAAAATTACTGAGCCTTATAAAAAATGGAAGTAGGAACCAATGGGCTTAGAGCCAAGAGCCACAGACAGAGCAGTAAAGTAAAGTATTTAGAGATGGACTAATGTACTGTTTTTGTTTATTTATGTGATTTAGAATAACACCAGCCTTATCCTTTAAACAGCATCATGAATGTTTCCCTTTTGCAGGATTTCCCACTTTTCAGAGCTAAATATTACACATTTTACTCCACCTCATCTATGTGATGGCTGTATGTACCAGTTACCTTACATATCAAGGTTTTACATACATATCATTTTTTCACTAAATTAAATGTGTTGCTGTAGTTTTAAATATGTGCATTATACAGGCCAGTATAGGAGAAAAGCGCCCATGTAGGACACACACACACAGAGTCCGACACACAACTGAGAGAGGCTCACCAGGCCTGAATATTGTATGAGGCATTCTCATGGGCCACTGCGGAGCGTGCAAACAGAGAGAGAGAGGTGGACTTATGCATGCACACATACACACACAAATGAACACACAAAGACAGCGAAAGAGACAGAGTGACACACTTGAAAACACAAACACATGTGTGCACACAAACAGGGCCAGTGGAGCTTGAGCTGATGTGGCCCGAAGCAGCCCAACGCCCTGCCATGGCACACACGCACACGCACACACACACACTTGCATACACTTAAGAGCCATCTGCAGCTGGAGATACAGCCTACAGAAAGGCTTTACTGCTGACACTCTGAGACAGACAGAGAGAGAAGGATAAGAAAAGAAGGGAGAAATGGTCGTGACCGAGTAAATCAGGAGATTAGGAGGAAGGAAAGAGAGGAAGAAGGGTGAAAAGAAACAGAGGAAGTGACAGACAGAAGCGGAGGTGAAAAATATGGCACCAAACTCTTACCTTCTGCCCACTCAAATCAAAAACTGCTTCACCAACTTTTACTGAGATCTCAGCCCTTACTGGAATTTATACATTATTGGATTAAATGTCATTGGATGTATTGTGTTCCCCCCCCCCAACCAAATAGGAACATAAGTAGGAAATTCCCTTTTTCTTATTCTTGTTTCCATTTACACCACAGTTCTTCAGCACACTTCACAAAACAACACTATTGTTAAAATTACATTACATTACATACAATTAAGAAGCAAAACAAGTAATTGCTTTGTGGAATGAAAGTTGTACAAGTTGCAGCAACCTTGTGTAACTGCTTATGTTTGACCAATCATTGACCAAATACATTAAACCATGTTAGTTCCTGGGCCATTGGAAAGTAGTACCAGAGGCATTAGATCCTAATTTCTCTGTCAAAATGAATGGCAATGGTTTTTGTTACCAAACAAAAAAAGAATATGATGTTTCTTCAATATTTCTGTTTTTATCAACCCTTAAACAAACCTCATTATCCATAAGTCTCATACTGCATGTTAAAGAAATGCTGAACGGGAGAAAGTGTAAGTCCATGCGTGACATCAGCTCTTTGTAGATAATGTTTTTCAGTTCCTAAAAAGGTTGCAGTGAGGGGGGGGGGGCTATTATCTGTATTTGAAACACCTCCAGCACACTAGCTAGCGACTGATTCTGATGTTTCTGGATAACTTCAGACAACCTGGAAAAATATGATGCCTTAAAACAGCAGTGAGAGGTTGGAGGAGGCTCCCAGGGGTTCAGATGAATCAAACCATCTTTGAAGCCTCTGGGCTTCTTCCAATAACTTATTTGATAAAAAAGCCTGAAAAAGGGGAAATAAAACTCATCATCTGGTGTCAAGGCTCACCACTCCTGGGACACAGGTAGGTATCGATTTGTTCGTAGAGGCTGTAAATCCAAAACTGGCAGAGAACCAAGAGTTGAAATTGATATTTAATTACGTCGGAATATTCTTACTAGTTTAGCATGGAGATTATGCAAGAGTTCAGAAGCAACTGATAGTCAGTCCTGGGAATTCCTTCGCACTATACATTCATTACGGTTTTTCTGTTGTCATTCTACATCATTACCAAAACACAATATTACTTAATGCTACAAATGTGGTTTTATTCCAAAACATTGTGGCCAGTGTGACAAATTTCCCCATCTGAAATTCCCCTGTAATTCAAAAATATTTTTATGTAACAGATCAGGACTTTGCGACTGAGTCTTTTAATTTTAAGTTTTAACTTTCATGCCAGTGCTCCTTTTATCATGTCACATTCTGCTTTGCTCTGTCTGTCTGTCATATTCGTTGGAATATGTACTCTAACCTGAGTTTTCAGCACAGTGGTGAATTCATGTTGGCAGAGTTTTTTGGTTGACCGATCATGAACTCCTGCAGCAATACGTGTAAAAACAAGTGAGAAAAATATTCAATGCAAAGCCAGATCCAGCTATAAGTCCACACTCCATATGAAGCCTAAGTGCTGTACTGCACTGTACACGGCTCGCTGAATCATACCTAACCATCTCGTGTTCAATTCATGAGAGGGCCATTATGTATAAAAGGGTCAGCAAGGCATGTGAATGTGCTCCGTATACGCCTGATGAGTTCCAGCGAAGCTTTTTCCCACAGGGAGGAAAGACGTTAGGAAAACTGTATTCCTATTACAAAAACACAAAAACTGAACTGAATGATTGCCCTTACACCTTCTTTGATAACCCCACCACTGACCTCTCTTCTAGTCAATATGTAAATGAACAAACATTGTTTTTCAGCCACTCGACAGGCTCTTCCTCTATCTGGTGGCCATTTTGTGCTGAGGTGGTTTCCAATTGATTCCAGGCATCGTCCTTTGGCTCGTTACTGCTGTTGTTGCTGTTCGTCTCTGAGTAACACGGGGCCGATGCCAGAGGGGTAAGGCGGGGAGGAGGGGTGAGGCCCAGCTGTCCCTACCTCTGCCCTCCCTGCTAGCAGGCAATAAGCCAGAGTACAGCCATAAACAACACTGGGATAGTCTGGACTCGACAACTCCGAACTGGGCTAGACTGGGCTGGAAAAGATCAGACTGGAATGTACTGGACTAAAATAGTGTACTACAGCAGTTTGGTCAAAATGGGTTTAAGGGGATGCAGTGGGTTCTATACAGGGCTCAACATTTTCAGTCTTAAACAGACTGAAACAACTCATGGATTTATTTGTGAACGTACATTTTAAAAATTTTTAAATCAATAATAGACAACTTAACTAGGGACTCTGGTGCATAATCGGCAGCTCATTTGCATTCTCTCCCTATTGTACCTATAAAATGTGCTTATTTGCTTTCTTGCAAAGAGTTAGATGAGAAGACTGATACCACTCTCATATCGGTCTGTTAAATATGAAGCTACAGCCAAGAGACAGCTTAGCATAAAGACTGGAAAGAGGAGGAAACAGTTAGCCTGGCCCTGTCGAAAGCTAACATAACCCCACAACCGGTCATTTTTACACTTTGTGGAAATAAAATAAAATAAAAAATATATGGGTACTTTTTGGGAAAAACCTGTCAAAACAATAAAATAAGTAATCCATAGCTATACAGAACCCAGCTGGATGTAAGGCAGGACTTCAGATAATCCGAAACTAAAGACACAGGGAAGCAGTTCATGTTCAGTTAAACAGACTAGAATGGCTTTGATAGACTGGACTGGACTTAATTAAGTCTGAATGAGTCTGGAGAGGAAGAGATTAGATTAGTTTAGGTTAAATTATAATGCCCCCACTGGGAAAAATAGTAAAATAAGTACTTGTAGGATGCACCAACAAAGACCAGGATAAACAATAACTAAGAATACAGCAACCAGATTTTCCTCTAGAAGTACTGATTCCATCAATAATGGGGAGTCAGTGACCTGGACCTTTTGACTTGAGGACTTCATCATGGTCCAATCAATGTCACTGAATTACATTTAGGCAAATTCAATCTTTCGGAAAGTCCAAGGACACAGGATTCCCCATTTTTTCACCCACCACAACTCCCTCCCACGCTTTACCTCAATGATGTCGGCATTGGTCCGGCTCTCGTGCGGCTCGTTGTACTCGGTGTACTTGAGCAGGACCTTGTCCATGTCGGTGCTGGCGTACTGGAACAGCTTGTTAGAGTGGTTGAAGATGATGAGGGCGATCTCGCAGTCACACAGGACACTCAGCTCGTACGCCTTCTTCATCAGACCGAACTTCCGCTTGGTGAACGTCACCTGGTAGAAGAAGATAAGTGAGGAGGAGAGGGAGAGGTGGAGAAGAAAAGAAAGAAAATCAGATGTTTAAAGTCCAGATTTTCCTAAAACAAACACAAGTTAAATTTTTCCTGTCATGTTTCATGATACCAATACCAAAGTGAGTAATATTCTTCAAAAAAAAGGGAAACCGAACTGGGCACAAGTAGAATTATCTTACCCAATTATTATTATTTGTTGGTCTTGTTTTAAGAAAAATATGTCTGTAAGTGGCCACTTTGCCCTAAATGTTTGACGATGTGGGCCAAGAGCTGGACCAGTCTTACATGTGCTGTCAGTGACATATCTTTCTGTTGCTGCTGTCAGATTACCAAAATACCATAAAAATGTCATGACCCATTATAAGAAAATTTGATGCAATCAGCCAAAACAGCTTCAGTTAAGTTCCTGGTACACTCCAAAACTGACGCTTACAGCAAGAGTCTGGTAATACTACACTGGGCGTCTGCATACGCAGATATGTTCACACACTGTATGTGCAGATAGTCATAACTATTGCAGACATGGGCCTTGTGACAAAATGTATGTCTCACAGACCCTTGTGAAAGTAAAATAAATAAAGAAGAGAATTAATTAATGCTTACTTTTAAGAAATATTTTTAAAAAGTCCATTAATCAAACATTTTAAAAATCAATCTCGTATCAAGGTTAACAGAATCTTCTTGCAGTCGGCAACAACACATGGATGTGTGGGGACATAAAATCTGCTTGAAAATCTGTTTTTGGTAAATCAATAAATAAAGAAAATCTGATAATTTAAAGGCATAGTTAGACAGTTTGGGAAGTTTGTTAGATGAGAAAATGTACTGCACTTTCACATCTGTCTGTTAAATATAGAGATGATCCCTGGTAAACTAAGCTGAAACAGTGAGCTTAGCTTAGCACAAAGACTAGAAACAGGGGGAAACAGCTAGTATTACTCTGTAAAAAGGTTAAAGAAATCTGCCTCATAGCACCTCTAAAGCTCACTAACCATCACCTTATATCTTGTTTCATCTGTACGAAAACCAAACAGTAAGAATTTGAGGTTTTAGGGTGAGTTATGACTATTTCTTGACTGGGAGCAGTGACTTCCTGAAATTCTTGCCGTCAACTTCACAGGGACTCTCAATCTCAATTTTGGCAAATAAGTGGAAAAGTATATTTCCCAAAATGTTGAACAATTCCTTTAAGGCTTAATTTAAGATCCTCCTGGATCAGAGACCAGTGATTTAGTGGAGCAGTGACAACAAAATCACTGTTTTACAGTCATGCATTAAGGCTGATAGTTTACAGTAAGAGGTATTTGGGACAAAATCAGGATTGATTGTATGAAAGTACTGTGTGTTTTAGGAAACAGACTTCTAGACAGAGTGTCTAAACATGCTCTCTTTCAAGTAATCAGTTTGTAGTTTGCGCACACACACACACACACACACACACACAGGCTTTTTCTCCCGTCCACACACTCCTTTCCTCCCGTCACACTCATTCTCCTCGTCGTTTTCACTCTGTTATGCTCTTTTCCATGCTCCTTCTATGTCACACACTCTCCCCTGCTCTCTTTTCCACACTCTCCTTCTGTCACACATTATTTTTCTCTTCCTCTCTCTCTCTCACACACACACACACACACACACACACACACACACACTTGAACAAGCAGAACAGAACTGGGAGTATTGCTGAAGCACAGGGACCCTGAGCTGCAATAATGTTGTCTGCTGGTTGGCTTTAGAAGTGCTTCCCTGCTATAACCAACTGGTATTTACAATCCAGGGAGATTTGGCTTTGTTTGGATTAAACACACAGGATTGTACAAACACAAACACACACAGGGAGAGAAAGATTAAGACAAAAGAACGAAGAAGAAGCTTCAGGTACCACTGTAATATCTGGTGTTTGATATGGGAGCAATGCAAACACAAAAGTGTGTGCACAGATGGGATGCTGGAATTAAATGAAGGTGTTAAGGGGGGAAGAGAGGTTTCAAGCGTGTGACATCAACACATTTTCCATCAGGCGTAAAGGCTAAAACACCTGCGGTGACATCACAGTTTGGGGGGCATGAGCTGAAGTGCAGTTTTCAGTACTTCTCTGTGAGAAGAGCACATGGGTCTACATTTTCCATAAAAACCTTATACTTGTTTTAAGAACAAGCAAACAGCAGATTTTATTTAAACTTAAAATAGAGTTCTGATGGACGCTGACAGTCTTTAAGATCTTTTCTGTATAATGTAATTATACTATTCTGTGCTGATACTGTTTGCAAATCATTGTAGTAATGATATATTGATATTTAAATGGCGACTGTAGTGCTCGTCATTGTTACTATGGTTTACCTGCACTGATGCAGACTGTATTTCTTCGGCTGCAGGCTGCTCTGCCAGCAGCGCAGGCCTGAACTGAATGTAATTGAAATGAATTGAATAAGGAAAGGAGGAAAAGATAGAGATAAGATAGAGTCATCGAGGATGAAACCTAGAAAAGCAGCCATCTTTCTCTCCCACAATCACTCCATCTCTCATATCTCCTGCTCCTTTTTTTTCCAGCACCCTGCATCTTTTAAGCCTCTCTCGTCCCTCCTCTCTCTTTCTGTCTTCCTCCTCGTTTTATCTTCCTCTCTTCTCTCTCGCTTTTTCCCACATCCACGCCCCCCCTCCCCCCACCCCCCCACCAACCTCCCCCTCCCTCACCAACCTCCCCCTCCCTCACCAACCTCCCCCTCCCTCCTCTCGCGCTTGCTCACTCATTGCTTCCTGCTGCCACAAATCAAATTATATCGGGGTCGTATCCATGGGCAACCAACTCCCCTCCTGCCTCCCCTCCGCCCCCCATTTCCCACCTCATCACACACTGCTACCATCATCTTACCTCCCTCGCTCTCTCTCCACCGCCCCCCATCTTTATCTCACTGTCTATCTACATACCCCCCCCCCCCCTCCCCCCTCCTTCTCTCCCTCTCTCACACAGAGAATGAGCAGATAAATTATGTGGCGATGTTGGAAAGGGAGGAAATTACGGCTGTGCAGGATGATGAGAGTGGTTGGTGATGAAGAGACAAGCCACTGCAAACAACAACAACTCCTCTCCTAACAAATTACAAGGTCATTCGCCAGTGCTGAAAACAAACAAAATGACTCCAAACATCTCAATAAAACCCTTGTTTTTCCTTTCTTCTTCTTTTCTTAGAAAAAGTGGGCGGCTGGGTAGAGACTTCGGGTCTCGGTTTAGATCCCGGCGTTTGTCACAAAGGATAAACAAGCTGGAGGTAATTGACATTAAGAACAGAATTGCCAGGTAACCAATGGCAACTGAAGAATAAGACATCCTCAGTGAAGAGAGAAAGAAAGAAAGGGGGCGAGTGGTTTCATTTGTGCGTGTGTGTGTGTGTGTTTGTGTGTCTCTCTCTCTGTCTTGGCGAGGTTGTGGTTGTGTGGCAGATGGATGAGGAAACCACCACTGACAACCGCAACCTCCTCTCGCTGTTTCCTGTAGCTAGAACTTCTCTTTCATTTGCTAGCTTACAGTCTCACTCACACAATCAGGTCTGAACAGTTAAAACTAGATACGGATCATTACGTGATGGTTTTAGGGATCTGTAGTATTTTGAATGGATGAAATGGATGAAACTTGCTTTTCAACTTGAAAAACTGACTCAAGGCCATTTTAGCCTTATTTTTCTTTGTAACGTGACACAGCTATATCTTATCTACTGATTTGTAGGGCCACATGTGGAGTGCAGAGTTCCAGATTTTTTTTTATGATATCCTCAACACAATTGCAAAGTGGGAGAAGTCATTTGAGGCATCCAAGTAAAATCCCATCCATTATCTTATTGATAAAGTTAGGCGACCGACACTGCGGACACTACCAAAGCTTGGATGGACATGAAACTCTCCTGGTTGAATCATCAAAAAACAACAACCAAAACAACTATGTTAGAAAATATCTGCTAAAGTCACAGGCCTGAGGACATAAAAACTGAAGGCGATAACTATGACTCCCAAGGTCTCATAGCTTAAACTTGTGTTGTCTGTGTAATTAATATTAAACTTTGTAGAAAGCTGAAAACACAATCTGCTGCTTGAATCACTCACTTTCAGATTCTGGGTCAATGTGGGATGAATTAAGCAACAACGGTGCCATGTTTTGTTCCCAGCTGCAACAACTAAGCATTTTATATTTTCTACAGCTCTGGTTTGTGCCTCTGAGTGGCTTATTAGCAATGGCAGCTGAGGCCCATGGGTCTCCTGGTATTTGGAGCGACCAGTCATACCCAACTGTTGCTGAGAATTCATGTTTCTTTTTCTGTCAACATATGGAAATATGTAGAACTGGTGGCCATCAACTTATAGTATTATCCTGGAATCTGGAAATTTAAAATGATTATTCAGAGAGGAAAGAAATACTACCTGAATCAGCAGCTCCTCCAACGTTGCACCTCTACTTTTCTCATCATTTAACAATATTATAGGTTAATGCTATGACAATCGTGTATTCCATCCGTTTGGTTTGGTTAGCGATAAATACTACAATACCCATAAGCCTCAGCTAAGTAAAACAGAGATACAGCAAAGTAAGTTCTTGCAACTGGAAGCAATACACACAGCTAAATGCATCATCAGGTTTCTACAGTGCAAAGTGTATTCTTTAACATCAGTGTTCAGCTTAGTTTCGGATGTCAGCAGAGGCAAAACATGAAGTTAAGCTGTGTGATTTGATGTTTTGTAAGGTAATAACTTCTCTCTATAAGTTTTTATGTACACTTCTGTCTTGATTATGAATGTATGGTTCTTCACTTCTTCCACAGTGTCAATAAGAGGTCAACCCTTTCTCTGATACTTTTGATGTGACAAACACTATCCAAAAACAAAAATCCATCAGATCAAGCCAAACATTTCCAGTCCCGCTCATTCTTCTTTCTCATCTCTTTGTCTCCATTAGAAACGTGGTATTTGGGATGCTGTCATGTTTCCAGCCGGGGCCCACACTCTGAACGCTGTTTATTTTGCAGAGCTTATGGCAGCATCTCTGAATCAACACGTAGGAGGGTGACGGGCTGCATGTACTCCAAAATTCATTTGATTTCCTTTCAGAAGCGGCACTGTTCATTAGCTGAAGCAACACTGAGCAAGCGTGTAAAAAGCACTTATTTCTTCAACATCTTAATACTCCGTTCCACTTCAAACACAGCAGACTTGTTCTGAGTGTTGTTAATAGAAGAACTGAATCCTTTTTCACTGTGTAAATTGCTCTGGATAAGAGTATCAGATAAACAGAGAATGAGAAATGTACACGCTGAGAGCAGTTTTGGTTTAATACAGACATCAAAAGGGCATCTCAAAGATCAGTTGGCCGCTGTGATTAAGAAACCACTGGCTTGTTAATGGCCTGATAATGAGTGATCTTTGATTCTGACACTATGAACATGTATTACCACAGAGTGCATCACCCTTTTGACAAACTGTTCGACACCTGATATAAATGCTGGCTCCATTAACCAGAGCCTGCCCGACCGGAAAAAGTTGCATCCCCTCCATCCTTTATGTCTAATTGTGTAATGATGAATAACAAGCCATCCTACTCCGCTGACCCCCCGCAGGCTCAGTTTGCTCTCCTTTATGGAAATGCAACCTGCACAGATTGATGAGGAGAAAACTGAGGATGATTTTCCAAACCCTACGGCCAGCTCGCTCTCTCACTGCTCGGGTCTTATTCAGCCCGGCACCTTGTTTCTCTTCCTCTCTCCGTCTTGTTTTTCTTCACTCTCTGCTTTTGAAGGTGGGCACGTCAAATCCATTACTCAATCTGCTCAATGGAGCAAAGCCCATTTACCAGTTGACTCATTTTAGATGGATCATTTACCCTTTCATCCTCTCTGACAATGCCGCTGATGTAACCAGAGGGACTGAAGCTGGGTTTTTTAGGGGGAATATTATACTTTCTTGCTCTTTTTCACGGAGAAGGGAGTCTGAGAAACCCTATGATTGGTCTGCAGAGTCATGTGAGCCTCATAAAACACGATGCTATTATACTGTTCTGTTGTGGAAGTGCTGAGAGATCAGCCACAATGTTGTTCATGCTACATGGGACATGTAAAAACAGAAAGGATCCCTGTGGGAATTTGTTATCGCATGAGTTACAGTTTCCTGTCACCACAATGGAATTCAGTGGTGGAGGAGTAAAAATGATTCATCTTTCTCAGAACTGAGCAGGATGGATCAGAGGAATATTTAGTTATACAGAGAGTTCAAGCCAGTTAAACATTACATTAATGGGATAACCATGTCATTTCTAGTATATTACAGTATGATACCACTGGAAGTCAAGTAATTATAACATTAACGTCAGCCCTTTGCATGCATGTTCCTTATTTTACTGTACATTGCACTAATTTGACAGCAGTTTTGTCCAAAGAGACTCACTCATACATAAGGAGCAATTTGGATTTCAGTGTCTTGCTCAGCATGGATCAGCATGATCAAACCACAAACCCCACGGTTAATAGCTGACCTCCTCTACCACTAAAGCTACAGTACAACCTCCCATCCACCCACAATTAATACAGGGCTATTTCCAGCCATCATCAGCAAAGCATCTACACCTTTAATTTGTCACCTGTCTCTGCGTTATTGATGCTCTAATCAGGGTGCTGATCACTGATGCAGCCGATAGCTAGTTAAATTAAGAAGTTATTATACATTCAGATATTGCTGGCTCACATAATTGGTGCTAACCTGTCTGTTGCGTTCGTCGGTGATCCTCTGAATCTGAATCTTTTTCCTCCCCATGTTTCCGGTGTTGTGGTGGGAGGGGCAAGGGGGAGTGGCAAGGTCAGAGGTCACGGATGGATGTGGTTGTTTTTCTTCCTCCTTAAAATGTCTGGTCTCTTTCAGTTTGTCCTTTCCGTGCACGCAGACACTGTTGGAAGCTGCCGGGCAGGGAGGCCGTCACCTCGTAAATTTTTTTTTTTTTTTTAAATGAAAAAGAAAAAAAGATAGGGAGAAGGAGGAGAGGAAGAACGGGGTTCGGTGTGCTGTGCCCTCTTCAGATCATGGTCCTGTTTCCACTTGCAGGTCATCCACAGTCTGGCGGAACTGGGGTCCTCTGCCCTCCCCTTCACCTTAACTGGGCAGCTCCTGAAAAAAAAAAAAACACAGAGGCATTCAACAGACAGACAGAGAGGGAATCTGAAAAGGGAGGAGATACTTTGTTTGTATACTGTGACCCACCAGAGCTATAACAAAATCTGTATTTGCATTGACCCCTCATATACAATACGAAAATAAATGATGCAGCAATGCATTTCAGGCGCCATCAAATCAGAAGCACGCTGAGCTGAAACATGAAGGCATGCAGAGCAGGAGGCCCTCAGGGGCCCGCAAGGAGGGAGGCTGTGCTGTGTCAGCTTCATTAGAGGCATCACCGCCACATCACTGATCTGCTGGTCGCCTGCGGCTACCGGCTGCCCGTTCGGGGCTGCCTGACACGCCGAATGTGTTTCCCCAATCGAAGGCAGAGCAGACAGGAGCCACCCAGTGTGTGGATTCTACATATTTTCCATTTCCAAACATCAACCTCATCTGTGCTAACTCCTTGACAGAACACAGGCCTTAGCCTTTGTTTAACATGATCTGTGTCAATAGCGGCAGGGTAATAAGGCAGGGACAGCGAGGATGGAAATTATTCTACATTCAACACAAAATATCTAAACAATTTTCAATACTTTTCTTATTAGGATTTTCCAGACTCTCAGGATAGATTCCCGACATCCACAAAGCAGGTATGAGGTGGCTGATTCCCACCGATGACCCTCAGCATTTAATAAGCTGGCAGATGCAGTTTAGTGTCCAGTAATAATATTATGCCTTATTACCTAAGCTGAACTCTGACTTAATTCTACAAAACACAGAGAAAAATTAAGAGTGTAAAATGTGTGTCTAATTTAGCCGAGCATCTAACTAACCATGAAATAAGGGTGGTCTGATCAAAAACAGAGGGAGGATGGGTACAAACATAAATAAATTTCTAATATGAAAAGGGCAAAGCAGAGAGAGAAAGCCCGGAGTATTTCTGCAAATTCATGCAAACTCATGAATGAATGAGAAGGCGGCAGCAGCCCAGCAATGGCAACAGAGGCGAGGACCGTTTTAGTCCCCGTTTCTACTATTTGTGGATCAGCTTTAAAAATAGCTCTCTATATATACATACAGACTGTGTGTACACACACACACACACAACAGTGGGAGCCAAGTGGCAGCATTACAGAGCTGAAGCATCTGGAAAGCCGCGAGTACAGACACCACACGAGCTCTCCAGCATTGTTTGCATTCCCTCTACCTGGGAGAGCAGCAGCAGAAGAACACCCTCTATTTACATCCATTCTTACAAAACAAAGAATGTGAAATAGTCTGTCATGAGACTGACATTTCTTTTGTGCTGCTGTGGGCGCTACACTGCATGCTCGTTTAGGGTGGATGCAATTGGCTTTGCGATGAGTTGCTTATGAATTATGCACTGATGGGAGAGATTGGAGGGGGGGGGGGTGAAGAAAGAGTCATAATTATTTTGTAAAAAGGCTTGATGAAGAACGGGAGGCTGGTTTCCACATGGAAAATCAACCGTGAGCTGCACAAACCGAATGCACAAACAACTGGCAACATCTTTCTTATATTTTGTTTCAGCTCCTTAAGCACATTCATTTTCTAAAATCCATGTTCAAGTCCTCTGCTTCTGTTCATCTTCATAGCTTTGCTTTTGACTGGCTCAGATTTAATAAGAGAGATCAGTAAATCTTAATGAATTCTACCTGAATCCCCTCATTAGTGTATCTCTTGAAAAGAGTAGGTGTCCCTAATGTGCTGTACACTCAATCTTTTCATCTTTACACAGAGTAGAGGTGTTAGTAACATAATTTAGATAAATAATAAAGAGGTGTAGGTTCATTCTCTCTCACAGCCTTCGTTAGCCACTGAGTGAGTGGGGGGGCTTGCTTCAGTTGTGGTGAAGTTCAAAGGCAGCACACAGAGAGATTTGTCTTTAGGCTGTGGGCTGATCACACATGAAAAGGCTGCTTTATCTGCCCGGGGTGGTCAAGTCTCGACCTTTTACCCTTCATGCTGCCGGAGTTCGCTTCCCATGTCTGATGTCAGGCAGAATCTCTGCTCTCACATGGGAAGCAGAGAGCCTGGAGTGTGTCTGCTGCCTCACTGAACAGGCCAGAGTGACAGAGAGGCTCTGGACAATGAAAAGATTAGCGCTGATAATTAGGAATCTACATCAGACCCAGACTAGAACCCTGGGGAATGCCTAAGAACGTTTTGACGGTTTATTTCACAAGGGGCCAATGACAAGCTCTTCTTTTACATTTTATAACAGTTGGACTCAGGGAATATGGACATAAAAGCACAAAATCGGAGTAAAGGAATTCAGAGCTCTTGAGGAAATTGCACAAATGTTTCAAGTACAGCTGCTACACGTCTACAGTTTTTAAGTACAGATGTTAGAATATTACAGCTGTCAAGACGTGATGAAAATTTGATCATCTCTGTGGATTAACTCTTACTTGATAAGACTCTGTGATGCTTATCTAATGTGAGATTTTTTTCATGCACATTTGTATCAAGATAATTCTCATATCTTTTTACACCATTTCAGTCTATTTCCGTGAAGTATCTAGAGAGTAAAATATATTTTAATTATATTTTTTCAGAAAGATTTAAAAAATGTTATTTTAAAAAAGGGAAAACAGCATAAAAGCAGCAAAGGAACAAAATCTGGGCAACAAATAAAATGTCTTAACTGAGCATTAGAAATGGCATAAAAAAAAAAAAAGAGGTACAAATGTGTCCACTAAGATGTAGAGAGGTCACATCAGGTTGTAGCCATGGGGCAGCCTACAACAAAGATTAGTCCATAAAAGAACTGTTAGAAAATGTTGCGTTGCATCATTATCCCTGACATCTGTTACTGCAGACATTAAGCATTTCAAAGCTTATATCTTCTATTCCAATGATGTGGGTGGAAAGCCACACGCTCTGAGGGCAATTTTTTGATTTCGACATTTATTCATGAAGAGAACGTTGACATGGGGATGTTCTTTTTCAGCAACGGCACACTTCACAGTCCTGCACAGTTGCAGTTGAAGCTTTCCAATACAACCATAGTCTTCTACAGTTGGACATTATGAAGCTTCCCTCGGGCATTTAGGGGTTAAGCGACTTGCTAAAGGGCATGTCACACCGATTTTCCCAGCCAGTTGAGGTTTGTGAACTGGTGACCTTCCTGCTGACAACCTGCCTCGCTGCCCTCTAGGCTAACGCTGGCCCGGATATTACTGATACATCGCCACCAATGTTTCTGCCAGAGGCTGAATGTGTCAGAACCTGCAGGGAAGGAGCACAGGGCTGTGACTGAGTCATGACACAGAAAACAAACCACTTACATGCCACAATACGCAACAGGAGACTGGTGTGTGTGGCTTTTACGAGGAAAGACGTGATGTAATCAGATGACGATGTGGCTACGTTTGTGCACATTTAGGCCTGAGTGATACAGTACAATATTAGGGTCACACACAAGTGATAATTAGAGCAGAAGGAAATCTGAAATATATTTTCATGGGTTGTTTATTTACTTTTTGTTGCCGTTTCATTATTGGTCATTTAGTCATTTTAGAGGAACGTTATCAGTATGCTCACATGATGAGTCTCGAAAAACAACACTGAAGCATCAATATATTGGTCAAGCCCTGGGCTGAACAATTAATTGCATTTGCGATATTATCGCGATACGCTCTGGTCACAAGACACCCAAGAGTAAAGCAGTCTGCAGATGAAGCATTAACTTCGGAGGCTGCGGGGGAGGGGAACTCCAGTGTTGTCGGAGAATTACTAAACTTGTCGATCAAACACGAGAGGCGTTATTTAGTTTTAGTTTCATTGGCCAACTTTTGAATTGAACCTCTGAATATTGAGGGGGTTTTTGCTTACAGGGATATAGACAGATGGACTCCTGAGATCAGGACGCATTAATTGGTGGTTGAACTGTGGGTTTTGTATTGAGCGCTTACTGTACAGCACACTGTGGTGAACTTAGTTTTTCTTGTGGTCTGTAGGTAGGCCGACCTGATGATATATCATGTTATTTAGTGCCTTGACTACTTGACTCAAATTATGTTTCTCATATTATTAAAATTGGATACTTCTTCTCCACCATTGCTCGTTTCAACACAGGCCTGACCCACAAGAAAGAACAGGGTATGTTTAATCTATCTAATATTGTGTTGGTCATACTGTACTCTGATTTACTGCTTGTCCGTTTTGAATAATACAGAAGGTAAAGAGCTTAAAAAGTAATCGCATGTTAAATCGCAATATTGGTAAAAAAGAAATTTGATTATTTTCCAAAATCGTTCAGCCCTAGTCAAGCCTAATCAAATGTGATCTATGTGCTTGCATGTGTGTGTGTGTGTGTGTGTGTGTGTGTGTGTGTGTGTGTGTGTGTGTGTGTGTGTGTGTGTGTGTGTCTTCTTGCATACTGCCTTGGTGTGTTAAGTGGCAGTACAGCAGCCTGGAGCAGAGAGATAACTGTCCGTGGCAGGAGATTGGGGGGGTGTTGAAGATGGGTCTCAGCTGCTGGAGCCATGCCAGAGGACTGCTTAGAAATCATCACTTTTCCCCACTCAGCACCAACATCTGCCGAAGCTGACCGCAACCACCTCCACTGCGGACCTCCAACGCACTATCCAAATCAGTCCCAACTATGATTACTACAACCTGGACTTATCCGGTCCTGTATAGTTTAATGTATGTAACAAGGTGCAAATGCTGCAGATGCCATGGGAAATGTTTGAAACACCAACTACACAACATGCATGTGCCAGCTATGATGAATGCAAGTTTATTTAAATGTCTAGTCTAGATGTAAAGATTTAACTGATACGCATTTAAGTCAGACAGAGATAGGGCCACACATTTGGGGGACATTTTCAAGCAGCGGTAAGGCAAACAACTACACTAGCAATAACTTAAAAACACACTCTACCTGAACTTTTCCTGTCAAAGGAAACAACTGAAGCAATAAACTGATATTTGTGAGAATCGTCATCCGTTAATAGTTGTTGATAATGTCAGAGTTG